AGGGGGGGGGGGCAGGGGGGAAAAGACGAACCACGAACGAGTGAAGCGGCAGGGGGTGGGGGGGTCTCACGTCTCATTGCCGACTGCTACAGCTGGGACTGCCGCTGGCCACCAAGCAACCCAAAACACACCGGGATGACTGTGATAGGGGGGAAGGGGTTTCCTGACCGGTCTTGGTACGGCATGTAGGGGTGCCCCCCCTCCGGTCTGGCAAAACACACACACACGTGCACACGGTGGGGAGCAGCTCCTCCTTCGTTCATTTATCCCCCCCTCTTGCTCTGGTTGCCTCGACTGTGTGCTCCCCGGTGTCGTACATTGTCCCCCCCTCCATTACGTCGTTCCCTGGCAGACTCGCGTGCTGGTGTCCCTGCTGCTGCTGAGGAACATGATGACCCGTGGGTCGGTGAACGATTCGGTTAAAGACTCCGTCCTCTCGGCTGCACACCTGGTAAACGATACAGTGGATGACGTCATCTCGGCGCTGAGGGTGCAGGGCCGTACGACATACGTGGCGGCGGATACCGGCGGTGGGTCCATTACGTGATGGCGCCCTGGAGGGGCCCCCTTAGAGCGGGGGGGGAGATTAGGGGGGGAAATTGAAGAGAGGGGGGTGGAGGGGTTTTGAGGGGTTTAGAAACCCGGACCAGAACCTCCCTTTATGGATTGCCAGATTACGAACCTGGCTTACCTCCCACCTTCGCATTTGTGTACGGAACTTGTACCTAAGCACCTGTACACCCACCCCACCCACATACATACAAGCATACATACTACCCACCTACCAATACCTCTATTCCAGAACCTGTCATGTACATACATACACACGTACATACACACGTACATGCAGGTGGCTCCTCCGGCGCCACCTCCTCAGCCGCCTCCCTGGAGGATCAGGCGTTGAGTCTGCTACTGCTGCTGCGTACGGGTGTCAATCACCAGCTACTGCCAAAGCTGGCGGCTTACGTGGCAAATCCGCCACCGCCGGAGGGGTACGGCATCTTCTCGGTGTCGTACTCGTGGCGGGAGCAGGGCCTGGCGGTGGTGGCGTTGAGTGAGTACGACGGATTGCGGGGGAGTGGCATACCCGACGTGAACGTGACGGCGGCAGTCAACGGAGTCACTGTACTGCAGGTGTGTACGACACCGTACGATTGTATGTGCATATGTTTTTATGCGTTTCCTGATAAGTTGCGCTGTACTGTGTCCCGTATGCCGCCAGCCTAGCCTTCTATCCGTAGCAAACCACTGCCAGGACACGACTATTATCCACCAGGTGCACCAGGCAGGTAGACAGAAAGACAGATAGGTAGGCGGCTGGCAGAGGTTAAGGCCTGACTTCTGCTCCCGGCCGACCCGGGTTCAAATCCGCCTGCCGGCTCCACGGGTGTTTGAGGAGTGTTGAAATGGGAGGTGGCCCCCCATCATATGGATGATGCATGGCCGCTGGCGAAGTTAACCACCCTGTAATTGAGACATGCAGACAGAAAGACTGTATGTACGTATGTATGTGCCACCGGCTCTAACCCCCGCAGGCCACCTTTGCGCCGCCACCACCTTCAACCCCCCCGCGTGGAGCCATCGTCAGCGGCAGCAGCAGTGGAGGCGGCGGCAGTTACACAACCACCACTACAACTGCTACTGCCGTCACCAACACCACGTCATGGCACCAACTGCAACAGAAGGAGACACGCGACATGGCGGCCAGTGCGGGTGCAGGTGCAGGTGAAAATGTGTCGTCACCTTCACCTTCATCTTCATCCTCGCCGGCGGTACTGGACTTCTCGGTAGGTGACATATATACATATGTACATACATACAGGTATACACATGCATATATACAGATGTGTCATGGCAACACTATCGCTTTTGTGGTTTCGCCGGTCTATCCCGGGCTCCTGCAGTGGTGATCGAGCTTGTGCGTGGTCCCTTTTCTTTCTATGGCTACTTCTCCCCTGGACCAGCCCAGGAAGGGACAGGTAGAGGCCAGTCGTTGTAAGGTGGCTGCAAGACGTCTTGTGGTGTCGAGCTCTCTTAGCCTTTCTCTCTTGGAGGTTTTTTTGTTGGCTTGTTATGTGTATCAGGAGCCCTCCCCTGCCTGGGCTGCCCTAACCGTATTTTTATTTTTTTGTTATTTTTCCCTTGGAATCCCGTCGTTGGTTGTGTTTTGGGGGGTTGTTTCAGAGAGCCTTTTGACTTTGCCGTAGCTGAGACTTGTGGACTCGCTCTAGCGGGACCTGAAAGCTATTCGTGGTGTGTTCACTGCAGCGCCACCCCCCCCCCCGGATGGAGGGGCTGCGGAGTGGCTGCGTAGAGTGTTGGCAGTCTGAGTAGGGGTCGGGAGCACACAAGACTAACCGACTTGTGCTGTGTGCTCCCAACCCTTGCGCTGTGTTTCGGCTTCGGCCCCCGGCTCTCGCGGCCCACAGTGTGAGTCATACATCTACGTTAACCTGCGTAATAGCCCCCCCTGCTCAAACCGTCATTGTATCGTGTCACGTGTCGTGACCGATGCGGGAGGAGGACCTGACTGCTGCAAGCGACTCTAGGGTAGTCTTTTCCGGGGGGGCTAGCCGGGCGTATACATAAAGCCGATATAGCCCATATGTATATCTGTACGGACAAGGTGGTAGGCTTAAACCCCTATTTGTGTAGGGCAGGGCAGTGATCGTGATTTCACGTGGATGGCTTTTCCACCTTGCATCTCTCCAATCTCTCACCTCCTCCTCTCCCCCCCCTTCTCTCCCCCACTCCTCTCCCCCCCCAACACACACACATTCCCCCCAGGTCGCGGGCCGTGGGGAGGTAACCGTATCCGCCTCCCTCCACTTCGTACCCTCCGCACTCCTGCCGTACCCCACCTATCGAGGGCTGTTCGTGGAGGCGGCGCTGCAGCTGCTGGACCCGCTGACCGACCGACCCACGGGTCAGCGGCTCAGCTCGGTACCGCTGGGCTCCGTGGTGGTGCTCACCCTGCAGCTCACCAGCCCCGACGACCTGGGCCCCGTCACCCTGGCCGTCATGATGCCGGGGGGGCTGGAGCCGCTGGATCCAAACACAGCTGCCGGCGCGGGGGGGGGAGGCGGGGGGGGGTTGGGACTGAGCTGCGGGGCGAACTGGGTCATGACGGACAGCGCCTGGGGCGGCAGCTCCTTCTTCCGCGGCTGGTGGTGGCCGATGTGCCCCTCGCAGGTGGGTGACGGTTGGGAGTTGGCGGTTGGGAGTTTCGGGGTTTGGGAATTTACGGTTGAGAGTTGACCCTTACCCTCCTAACTTGCTACCTTCCTACCCTCGTAACCCCCTACCCTTCTACCCTCGTACTTCTACCCTCCTACCCCCAAACCCTTAAAAACCCCTCCCCCCTCCCCTCCCCCCCTTAACCCCCCAACCCCCCTCACCCCCCAGGAGACCCGGCCCCAACTGGTCACGTTCTCCTACCTGGCATTGCGCTCCGGAACCAGCTCCGTCTCCGTACGAGCAGTAGCCGCCACACCCGGCACCTTCATATTCCCGCCAGTAAGGGCCTTTGCGGACAACCAGCCCGAGCTAAGCGGCAGTACGGCAGCGTCGTACATTACCGTTTGCGACAGCTGTGACAAACCTACCTACTTGCGGAATTCGCCGGCACCCCCTAAGCCATGCCCAAGAAGGGGCTGTGGGACCAGAGGGGTGTGTAATCTGGCTACTGGAAAGTGCGTGTGCGGGTCCAACGGAAGCAACGGTATTAACGGTAGTAACGATACCGTTGTTGGTCAGTGTGGGATGTAGCGAGTTTAGCGGTAGTGGGCTCGTGGTGGAGGCAAGGTGCGCTGGAAGGGGTTTTAGGGGGTTTCGTTTTTGTATTTCTGCGCCACCAGGAATTTAGGGTATTAAGGTATGGTGGGGGCACTGGTGGCGGTCCGAGTGCGTGTCGGTGAGCAGAGGCGGTTGTGGCGGTTGTAGGAGTCAGTCTCGTGGAGGAGAGTAGCGGGGTAGCGAGGGCAAGATCTGTACGTGTTGGAAGGTACGATGAGTTGTGAGAAATTAAAACCAGCTTAAAAGTAATCTGGTAAAAACAATCAGACAAGAATTACGTGTACATTTGCAGTGTATGGTATGTGTGACAGTTGTGTCAGTTGTATACCGTTGTAGGTTATACAAATACATATACGCGCATGGCTGGGCACCTTACCCTTGTGTAGTTGGGTTGTCATTACACGATTTCTTGGCACCACTTATCATCTGTCATCCACATTCGCTGCCACGCCATCGGTTGCCTCAGCACGATCAATCTCAGCACGCCACCAACTAACTAACCGACAAGCACTGCATGGCACTGGGCTCACTTTACATAGGACAGCTATCCAACCCGACTCGCTATTCGATAAGAGTCCAGGTCAAGCATTGCAGCAGCTGGGAAACGAACGGTCCTTGTGAGGTGGTCTTCCTACGATTTTAGAAAGAGAAGTCGTAGTGGAGTGTCGGCCCTGGGCCCGGGCCGCCCACGCCGAAGGCTGGGATGCAGAACGCTATCTCCATCACCAGCTGCCGTGTCCGATCTGTGTTATCCGCGCCTATTGGTGTGCAAGCGAGCCCTCACTTACCTGGAACGAATGGGAGCGCACGGGAACGCATGGTCGAGGAGGTGGTGACGAGGTAGGAAGAGGAGGTGGTGACGAGGTAGGAAGAGGAGGTGGCGACGAGGGAGAGAGGCGAAGGAGGCGAGCATGGGGGAATGTAAGGGTTTATGGTAGTAACCATACTAGCAGGAATGGTGAAGAAAACGCGCGCGCCAAAGAGGCAAGTAAGTTCAAGTACGGCAGAAGTGGCGTGCATTATTATCTAACACGCGAGTTGTGATGATTAGCTTATGTCTAAGATAATTTACAACGAAATTTTAGGCAAAGATGGAAGAGGTGGCGAAAGAGAAGGCAGGCCTTGAGGACAAGATCAAAGACCTTCAGGGCAAGATCAAAGACCTTCAGGGCAAGATCAAAGTGCTTGAGGTCAAGATCATAGAAGTTGAGGACAAGCTCGAAGCGGAAGAAGATAAGGAGGAGCGGAGCTATCTGCGCGCAAAAGAGTTGGCCCTGGACAGGCAGCTTGCGGGCCTGCAGGAACAGCTTGCGGAGCTCCTGAAGGAGAAGAATCGCCTTGCGGGTGGTGAGTCGTGCCGAAACAGGACGGGATGCTGTGATGACGTGGCTTTGTCGCCCAACCCCCATGATCAGCTGACTGTTGTGCCAGTAAAGTATATGGATATACAGACTTATAAGCCGTGTCTCCAGTTATAAAAGTCTGATGTGTGGGCCATGCCGTCGATGGGCATTTTTGCGCGCGGGCGAAATACGCGATTGCCATTAGTATTATTACCTGCTACTGTTGCATAAGTGTTAATACTTATGTGGTTGAGCAATCACGAGGAGCGTGGCGAAGTAGGATGGCCATCGGCCGGTGGGGTTCTACCTCTGCTGCTGTGGGCACAGCTGTGTGTGACCCAATGGTAACCGATTGCCCGACTGACCGGAAGAGTATGCAGATGCATACTCTTCCCACCATGCAGGTGACAGTGCTATGGATGCACTGGTCATGAAGGTCGCCAGGGCATTGATAGGGGTGAAGGCGGTGCTCAAGCCGGTGCTCAAGCCGGTGCTCCAGCATGCCTACAGGCCACGGTCAAACTCTTCTGTGGAGTCCGAGTACCGCCCGGCTGCATTGCAGCACTACACAGGCGAGCTGCAGCCACGATATGCCATGTGTGCAGTGTCAGGTGTCCAACTGCCATTGCAGGATGTGACTGCCAGCCACATCTACCAGAGGTGGTGGCCCCCCATGGTGAGTGTATATGCAGTAGTACACCACATTTTGCTGGGTGACAGCCCATGTGTGCTTCTAAGGGTTCCAAACATGCCAGGTCCCTGGTCATCTGGTTACCCTATGGCATAAAACGGGGGTAACCCCCCCTTAAGTGTAACCCAGGGTGTAGGGGTAGGGGTTACCCATGTGGCTATGTACGAAGGGAGGTGGGTAAGGTATGGGTAGCCCCTTACCAATGGGTAACAAAGGTGTCGGGGTAATACAGTACCGATGGGTAACAGACAGGGTAACCTATGTTTACATTCACCTTCACATTCAAACATACATGTCTTCACCAATCACTTGTGAATCCCCAATTATGAACATTGCTGCACCAAAACATGCCTTGTTGTGAAACTTAGACCTAAGGATAAGGCGCACAGCTGCAGCCTAGATGCAAGGAGGCGGACGAACAAGTGTACATAGGCAGAGCAAATTGGGGACCACGAGAAGCCGCCAGTGAAGCCAATAAATATTCCTATCAAAAGATCCAGGCACTTACCGCCACCCGGACCAGCCAGTGGGTGGCAATGTAAGGTCAGCCAGTAGCTTAAGTGCCCCTTCCTGACCTGCTAATTCCAGCTCTACACATGACCAATGCAACACACTATATGGATATATCCAGAGTCTGCTCATTTTCAGAGCAGGCTCTCTTAAGAGTGTTGAGGGTCTTGGGTGGGAGATCTCCCACCTCATTGCTAAATGAGGTGCACCATAAGTGTGGGCCTGTGCTGCAGAAAGACGGTCAATGGTCTTGTTGTGGTGGTCCACACATGTGAATGCTAGAACGCCACCATTTTTGCCACCATACACACCAGTATTGCAACATGGATTATATGTGTGCATTGTATGTATGGTCAATAGGAACAATGCTGGCAGTGAATTCACATTCATATTCGAATATGATTGACTGAATTGGTGATAGTGGTCATCACTTATTTTAGCATGTCTGTCTAATTAAAAGACCAGCCATGAGTGTGCATTACATGAGTTTACAAGCTAATTAGCTGTGATTCAGCTTGAATGTGCTTGTTAGGAGTATCAATGGAGGCAAAGCAGCATGCACATATGTGTACAACCACCCCCAGCTGGTAATATGTCGGCCGACCTCAGGATGGATTGCCTCATGTTTTCACAATGAGAACTATTATATAACAATGGATGACAACCAAAGGCATCCATTTAGTGAAGACCTGTCGTCGACTTGTGTGTGTGCTGCCAGCATTCGCCCCTTCTCCTGTACTCATCTACAAGCTCTCATTTTACAGCAGCCAAACAGGCCAACATATAGGTACTTATTGCTTATTCCTTGCGTGTGTGATGCCAGCATTAGAGACCTTAAGGTTGAAATGGTGAGCAATGCTTCCTGAGATACCATGATACTGTAGGTTGCTAATGTTTACATTTTCAAAAGTATCCTTAAGCGGAAATTACGATGTGGGAAGCATATAAGACGAGTAGCCTATGGGCCCATACATATGTCCATAATCCAGGGCAATGGAGGGGTTTACCCTGGGGCCGTGTTACCCCTCCTGCTGGGTAGGAACTTACAAGGGGGTTACCAAAGGGCTACCGGAGGTTGAAGATGGGTAACCCATGGGTAACCCATGAGTTACTGACCCAATCAGTGCCTTAGGGTTAATGGGGACTGCACACACACTGCCTGAACATCTGTCTGTGTGTGTGCAGAAAGATGTCAAGATCAACGACCCATGCAACATTCTGCTCATGCACTGCAACATCAAGAAGCACTTTGACAGCTTTGTGTTCACGGTGAGATTTTGTGAGTTCCATACACAGTAACATGTACTATATGTGCTGCAATCATGCTTGTGGTAGCCTTTTGCCTGGATATGTGTGTTAGGCACAAGCATCTAGCCTTGTCCCAACTCTATGCATGCTAACTCGAGCTGTATTGCATGAAATGTGCAGGTCACCCCCGTGGAACTCAAGGTATGACATGCTTGTGCTGGTCCAGGGACACTGACACATGCTAGGTACAGGACCCTTGCTGGTTGAACCTGCACATTGTGAGGGGTGAAGACCATGAGCAAGAGCAATTACATGGCTTGAGGTTAATGCTGGCACCGGGTACCCAAATCCAGCCACGCACACCAGCCATGGATCCATGTCCGGACATGCTGTCATCACTGTGCTTCCCTTCACCTGGAGGGAAGCACACCTGTCATCTCCATCACTGCAGTGTGTACCAAACTGTCTATAGCTGATCCCCAGTGAGTCTTGTTTCACAGGTGGTGCTGCTGCACAAGAAGCACAAGGACAAGGTGCTGTTTGAGTATACAGATGAAGGTGGGCATCAGAAATCAGTGAAGCTGGGTGACCTGGATGGCCGCCTTCTCAACCTTGCCTGCGGCACAGCCCCATCAGAGTATGCATTGCGTGTTCACGCCACCTGGGCGGTTCAATATGCACTGCAGCAGCAGTGGTGCAGTGTGGCGGACATACCGCCCACTGTTCTCTGTGACAGAGAGTTGTTTCAGGGGTTCCTTCAGGACTTAGGATGCTGCAGTAGCAGCAGTGGCGGCAGCAGCAGCAATCAGGATATTAACATCACTGGTGAATCTGGCACCACGGGTGAGGGGTCTCAGTAGCAGCTTTGGTAACCGTGGCTCTGCTGGTGCCAGCGACAAGGTGGAGAGTGCTTTTGCCGTAGCACCCCAGAAGCAGCTGAAGCTGTGAAATAGACCATGAACTGGAGTTGAGCTGGGTGGATGCTTGAGTGTGTAGGTAGTGGACTTGGCTGTACAGGGGCCATACAAGGATGGCAGTTGTGCAGATGATGGCATGAATAGGGTTGGGCACCCTTTAGAAACTTAGAAATAATATATTCTAATTCTGATTAGAATTCTAAGCTAGAATTTAGAAAGGCCTGCTTACAAGGGTTTATAATATTATAATATTATTCTAATGCCGTACACCCATTAGAACGTGCCAAAAGTTGTCTTTTCCGACCGCAAATGTTGCTTTTTGAGGTGAAAGATGGCAGATACGGGCCCAGGACCTTCCAAACCTCCTTTTCCAACGCCCACAAGCGTCTCATACCAGTATGGCAAGTAGACACTGGATGCCAAGGCTTACCACGAAGTACTCAGAGGTGCCAATTCCAAGGAGAACGCAGTTGCCATGTAACTGTATTCAGTGCTCCTTGAGACTGCTGTGAGCAGGACAGGGACTGACTGTTTGACTTGAATTGACTCTTCAGACCTTTTCTGGGCGCCCAGAAACCCTGCGCAAGGGTTATGTAAACCGGTTGTAGGGTTCAGGAACGCGTGAGTGTGCAGGGTTTTGTTGACTTTTGATGAGTATCACAGACGTTTTCTGGCCGAATTGAAGGGGGGGTGCCGTGGTTGGATCCTCCAGAGTGTCAGACCTGTATAAAAACCCCGGAAATATCCAATTAAAGCATAAGCCGTCGCAATGGTCCAAAAATAATTTAAATCAGAGCTCCCAGCGAAAAGTTGACCCCCTTGTTCTAAATTTATTTCTAAATTCTAATTAGAATTCTAATTAGAATTAGTATAGAACGCTTGCCATTCTAAACTTCTGCCCAACCATAGGCATGAATGATGCTGGCAGCGGTGTGGTGTTGGTAGAGGTGGCAGTGAATGAGGATGCCAGCATGTGTGAGCAGTTGTAACTGCTGCAGCGGCATCATGACAGCTGCCACTGCTGCCCGGACAGTGGCCTGTATGTGCTGACTTTGATGGAGCCAGTGGGTGAGCAGGAGGAGGCCATGGTTGAGTAAGGATGATGGGCCATGCATGGCATGTGTGTTTCACTAGACACACCTAGACTCCTGTTACTAACTAAATATGGCATTTGCATGATATGCCTGGTTGCATTTGTATGGAAAGCATTTGAGAAGCCAGACTGAAATGACACGCAGTTATTGGTGTGAGTTGGGTACCTGCATCACTGCACACGTATTTTTTGGGGTGGATGGAGGAGGTGTTGCACATGGATGCATCATGATTGTGGGGGGCAAGCAGTGAGCCTGGCCCGAGGTTCCTCTCCTCTCTGGAGGTGAGAAGCATGGGGGTCATTTGGGGCTCCTCATCTTTTGTACGTTTTGGGGGCCCTGGCACGTCCATGGCTGCCATCCCACATGTAATCTCTATCAGTACTGGGTGCTGACGCTTGGCATGCATCATGACTAGGATCTGCATGTTGCACACAGTGACAGGTGAAGTTGTTGTCTGGATTTCAATTGGGTGCACGGTGGGCCATGGGCAGTGGAATGTAAAACTGGGCGGAAACTCAACGGAAACCGATTGCACCTCAGCTGGAACTCAACCATAACTGATGCAAACAGCATCGTATTGTTTCTTGGTTCCACAATTGCAGCCATGCAAGGGATGGGGCCCTTAGGATCATGATGCATTGCTCCACACACACAGGTGCCATGCCGAGGGCTAGTAGCACCAAAAGAGGGGAAGAGAGGACTTCAACACAAAACACCCTCAGGGATAGAAAGCCCTAGGATATTCTGCTTCCCTGCCTCCCCTCTATCCCTCGGCCTTCCCTCAATCCTCACCTCCTGCCACCTCCTCACCAGGATTGCCGTACACTGATTGGGTGTTATGGTGGGGTCAATGGGCGCCCGTGACAGGTGGTACATGCTGATGGTGCTCACTGCAATCCCACGGGGTCACATGTGAGAGCCATGTACACCGTTGCCCAACGTGTACCGTGGAGCCGGTGAGGAGCAGGGGGCAGGTAAAGGGGGTGGCGAAAGAGAGCATTCACACATACATACACGTGAACACAAGCAGTGGCTATGGAGTGGAGGGTGGGAATTCTGGTGCATCTAAGCACTAGGATGACAATCTGTGTACACATATATACATGCATGCAGTTGGCTGGCAGAGGTTAAGGCCTGACTTCTGCTCCTGGAATGACTGGGTTTAAATCCGCTTACCAGCACCTCGGAGTGTGAGGGGTGTTGAATTGGGAGGTGGCCCCTCATGAGGACGGAGTAGGACATGATCATATCCAATTTACAAGCTGACCAAGAACTAAGTTGAGGCGCAGTTGATCCGCTAGATTTGGTTGGATGCTGGTGGTGAGTTGCTGAACCCAACGAATACATTCTGAAGTCGGATGGGGTGATTGGATCTGAGTGCCCCTCTCACAGGGGAGAGCAGGGGACTGCCTCGGGAAACGGGGCCGCTATTGAAGCTATACCACTCTGTAACCACACACATACACACATACACACACATACACACATACACGGCGCTGCAGCTGCTGGACCCGCTGACCGACCGACCCACGGGTCAGCGGCTCAGCTCGGTACCGCTGGGCTCCGTGGTGGTGCTCACCCTGCAGCTCACCAGCCCCGACGACCTGGGCCCCGTCACCCTGGCCGTCATGATGCCGGGGGGGCTGGAGCCGCTGGATCCAAACACAGCTGCCGGCGCGGGGGGGGAAGACGGGGGGTTGGGACTGAGCTGCGGGGCGAACTGGGTCATGACGGACAGCGCCTGGGGCGGCAGCTCCTTCTTCCGCGGCTGGTGGTGGCCGATGTGCCCCTCGCAGGTGGGTGACGGTTGGGAGTTGGCGGTTGGGAGTTTCGGGGTCGGTTGGGAGTTGACCCTTACCCTCCTACCCTCCTAACCCCCTACCCTTCTACCCTCGTACTTCTACCCTCCTACCCCCAAACCCTTAAAAACCCCTCCCCCCCTTAACCCCCCGACCCCCCTCACCCCACAGGAGACCCGGCCCCAACTGGTCACGTTCTCCTACCTGGCATTGCGCTCCGGAACCAGCTCCGTCTCCGTACGAGCAGTAGCCGCCACACCCGGCACCTTCATATTCCCGCCAGTAAGGGCCTTTGCGGACAACCAGCCCGAGCTAAGCGGCAGTACGGCAGCGTCGTACATTACCGTTTGCGACAGCTGTGACAAACCTACCTACTTGTGGAATTCGCCGGCACCCCCTAAGCCATGCCCAAGAAGGGGCTGTGGGACCAGAGGGGTGTATAATCTGGCTACTGGAAAGTGCGTGTGCGGGGCCAACGGAAGCAACGGTAATAACGGTAGTAACGATACCGTTGTTGGTCAGTGTGGGATGTAGCGAGTTTAGCGGTAGTGGGCTCGTGGTGGAGGCAAGGTGCGCTGGAAGGGGTTTTAGGGGGTTTCGTTTTTGTATTTCTGCGCCACCAGGAATTTGGGGTATTAAGGTATGGTGGGGGCACTGGTGGCGGTCCGAGTGCGTGTCGGTGAGCTGAGGCGGTTGTGGCGGTTGTGGCCGTTGTGGCGGTTGTGGCGGTTGTGGCCGTTGTAGGAGTCAGTCTCGTGGAGGAGAGTAGCGTGGTAGCGAGGGCAAGATCTGTACGTGTTGGAAGGTACGATGAGTTGTGAAAGTTAACTGAAAAATAGTCCGCCGAAACAATCAGGCAAGAAGTGCGTGTACATTTGCTGTATGGTAGATGTTACGGTTCTGACATTTGTGGCAGTTGTGACAGTTGTATATCGTTGTAGGTTATACAAATACATATACGCGCATGGCTGGGCACCTTACCCTTGTGTAATGGGGTTGTCATTACACGAGTTCTTGGCACTTCTTATCATCTGTCATCCACATTCGCTGCCACGCCACCGGTTGCCTCAGCACGATCAATCTCAGCACGCCACCAACTAACTAACCGACAAGCACTGCATGGCACTGGGCTCACTTTACATAGGACAGCTATCCAACCCGACTCGCTGTTCAGTCAAGATAGTACACCTGTCAATGGCGGCGATTAAAGGCGCGGTTTCGGAGACGAACGGAATACACACCGAAGCACAGTTAGTGCGTGAACCCGTGACTGCCGCTTTGTCGGCGGGATGGGATGGAATGAAAAGTGACACCGGTAATAGAAAGGTGCATGAGTAGATGGAAGTGGACGTGGGCCCAACGTCCCGTTGCCGCCCCTGATCCATGGCCTGTGACGGGACCGATGACCGTGGTCGTCATGCTGCTACTGCTGCTACTACTACCACTACCTTCGAGAGCTTGAGAGCATTGCTGGTACGTGTGTACGGTAAACATCCTGCAAACTTGGATAATCCATGCTTGTGCACCTCGGCATGGACCTCGCGGCGCTGCAAAAGGAAGTGCTCCCCGCGCGCTTGCAGTTGCAGGCAGAGGTGAAGAGAACCAGTGCGGGTGCGGCAGTTCTGGTCTTCTGGAACCGGTGATTGTGGATAATGTGCTGGGCATGGATAGGTTGGTATTATTTTTGACCCGGCCCCTGGGGGCTATTGCCTGTGGGTTCGAGCCCCGCAAGGATCAAGCATTGATGTTTCACTGCTCTAGCTTTGTGAAGTGTCAATGCAAGCGCCATCGTGCGTCCGTGGCGCTCGTGACGGAGGTCTGTGATCCGTGGTGGATCTGATCCTTGTGCAAGGGATTCCAACCCTAACCCTGTACAAGAGCGCGGATCGCTGAGTGGGCTGAAGAAATCGCCTTTCAGTAGGCCGACGCAATTTTAGCTTACTGGATGACGATTGGAATTTCGCTGACCATATAAGGCCCCAGAGGTTCCATTGTCGCCTATAATAAAATGTCTAGCAGATGCGTCCTTGGCTGCGACGGTTCTCAGCCAGATTCTAGCCTGGTGTTAATATGGATCCGCTGCTGTGTCAGCTCAACAGCGGCCCATCAGTCGCCACACATGGGCCCTGGCAGCAGTCGCCTGATACCCGACCATTAAAACACCCGCACTGACATTGCAAACCCCAGCAGCGCTCAAGCCTATCACAAGCAAATTATAGCTTGTGGAAGAGTGTCTGTCCTGCGTATCCTACGCCATTCATAACAGTATACGTGCATCTGCTTTTATTGCCTGTAAGCCTTGGGTCCGTCCTTCGTCCCGCCTGTGCCCCGTGCGGCTCAAGGCATGCTAGCACGTGCTCCAAAACGTATTATATAAAAACATACCTTCTTCGCACCACACGGCGCGACGCCCGCACGGCACTTTTCCCCTTGAAATGCGTTACATCATGAACAGTTGCTGGTATTGGTACGGTACTGTACTGCGACTGCCATAGAAGCAACAACCTGTAATCTACTACAACCGCTGTAGCAGTTCTGTTAAGAACTGCGAACGCCGTCTGACGGGGACCAAAGGGTCCGTGGACCCGACCCATGGTGTTCCCACCGCCACACCACCCGAACTACGCAACACGCAACTCTAAGTCCTCGCACGACCAGGCGCTTCCCGCCACATCCTCCTCCCTGCTCCGGCCCCTGAGAAACGCAACCGCAGCCACCCTGGCCCCTACACTGCAGTCTGCTGCTGATGCCGTTACCTTCGTCTGATATGCCCCCGTGAGCGCCTTAGGACACCGGCCTTACACTTGCATGGTACCGGACGGCGTCCAAACATGCCCCAGGTACGGCAACATACGACGACTCTGCTAACCTGATTCCATTTCCGCAACATGCTTTCTTCCTCCTCCTCCTTCGGACCGTGTCCCCCGTCCCTCTCGACTCCCTTACCATTACTAAGTGAAGGTCGTGAGACAAGGACTCCTCATACACCCACACGTTCCGTCCATCATCATATTCCCACTTCCCGACCCCCCATACCTCCACCCTCCCTCCCACCACCCCGTCCCACTAGATTCCTCCACACGCCCCTTCCCCTGCTCCTCTAGCTCGCGGGTACTGCCAAGAGTAGCCCTCTCTGGCGGGCTCAAACCCCCCTCAACCCGGGCTGGTGCGGCTGCTGTGCTTGCTCGGATTGCTGGGACCCCTCCTCCTTCACACCCCCGCCACTAGGGACACACGCAAACGAACCCGACCCCTCATGCCGTCCTCCGGCTACTTCCCCTCGTCCATGGCCACGTAGTCGGGGTTCTTGGTGAGGATGACTTGGCCCTCCAGTATCGGGGACAGCGGCAACCACTCCTCAGTGGCCAGCTCGGCGCGCTCACCAACACCAAGCAACACGGGCGTTGTGTGGGTCTGAAAGCCTGCACAGCAGTGCGACGAAGAGAGCGGGGTGGATCGCAATTGATCAGGTATACGAACACACGTCTCGAAGGGAAAGGAACACGAATGGAGCCGCGGGTTGTGCCGGGTTGTGATGGTGAAGGAGGGGGGAAAACAGGGGTGTTAGGGAAGATAAGTTGTTGACGCACGCGAAACATAAACCAATTGCGTGCACAGCCCATTAAAAATGTTTCGATTATGGCAAAGGAAGATACTCACCGTACGGCTGGCTATTCCCATGAACGCCATGAACACCATCACCTCTCTCCCACTCCCCCCCTCTCTACTCCCTTCTACCCGCACTCCCGCACACCCCCTCGCCGCAGACATCAAACAACCAGCTCCAGGGAAGGCCCCCCGGTCATGAGCGCCTGGGCAACGGCCCAAATCCCACTCTCCCGCCCTACTGAACAGCCGCCCTACGGGAACCAAACATCAAACATCAAACATTACCGAGGCGACTTTCCCCTCCTCCTGGGCCCTCCTCCCCTCTGGACCCCCCATCACAGTTCTACACGCGTTAACCGTCGTACGCCACACAGTGCCGTACCCTACACTGCTGCCCTAACGCATGCTCCTCACCCGTGATGGTCTTGGGCCTGCCCGCCTGCGCCACCACGTCCACTGCCGTACCGACACGGCACGACACCGGCAGCGGCCGCCCCTCCGCGTCCAACGTGAGCAGCATCCTTGGCTTCATGGCTGTTGCCAGGCAGTACAGCAGGTAGTGGTGCTTACCGCACAGCGTGGCCTTCAGGTCCAGACAGGAGAACAAGACTGCCAACACTCCAGCTAGCGACACACCTGGGGGACCCGAAAAAGGGGGGAGGGGAATCATATGATGCAAGCTTCCGTAAGAGTTGCGTTACCCTCGGAAGGTGTTTAACGGGTTCATGCGAGCCGGAGGTCCAAGGGCCAGTGCCTAGGGCTGCCCGAAACAGAGAGATGAAATAAAAAAGACAAAGAAAGACTAGGATCCTATCACTCAAAACCGAAAATAGAAAATATATCGAACTAATTGAACTACCCAGACTGGTATGCCGTAGCGGTGCGCCTGTTAATCCTAACCCTCGTTAGCCAAACACTGTGGATACGGTTCACCAACTTCATCCGGTCAGCTGCTACCATCACATCCTCCATAGCTACATAGATCCACACGCGCCCGACAGAAAGCCCCTCTGCATGTTGCTGCATATGCTTTGCTGCATTGCTGCATATCCAAGAGTACATGCTCTTCATATTCCACGGCTTGGAGCTCGCAGATCCTCTGCTCACGTGCGACCCCCCATACGCTCGATTTGCTTCTAGCGGCCAGCGGCAACACGGACGAAAACGCATTAGCAACCGATGTATATCAGCAGGAATGAACATGTTGGCATATGCGGCACCAGTCTTGGCCCGGCTGCTTTCTCAAACGGCAAACCTTTCCCTGTGTTTGTATTTAGCCAGTATCATGCCTGGTTCGTAGTTGGTTGTTGGTAGTTGGTGAGGATGATGCGGAAGGGGTGCCAGCAGGTAGTTGGAGTGCATTTGGTGAGCGCGCGAGGAGAAGGGGGAAGGACCACCCTCCATTGCCACCGCCATTACCCCGACTGAACCAACACATACCCCCCGTCTAAAACTACTCCATCACCATCACATTACCCATCATCACCTTAATCAACCATAATATATATACATCCACAAACATCAAGAGCCCATTCACCCAGGCATGCCTGCGTGCGCCCTCAAACGCCCTCAATCCCGGCAGACCCACACCCCCGAAATCCACATCTCTAACCTTTCCTTCCCACCCTCCTCACCCATATCCGACCCCCTACACACATAAACACGCTCACCCGAGCACAACTGTCTGTCCGTGTGGTATGGGTTGATTGTGAGCAGTCCCTTGCCCATGTGCACCAGGCCCTGGGCCAACCTGACCAGAAACAGGGCGGTGGGCTCCTTGTAGTAGTAGGACGCGAGGCCGCGGAGCAAACCCGCGAGACGGGCGTTGTTGGTGCCTGCAGAGCCGGGAGGAGATAAACGGAGAGGGTAAGGACTAGGGACTAGGGCTTAGGGTTGAGATATGGGAATGGAAATGCGATTATGAAAGCAATAACCCAAATACCCCTTCCCAGCAGTGAGGGGCGCTGCTCAGTTATCGTACATAACCCACCCAGACACACCACCACTCACACCCACCTGTCAGCAATACACACGTACGTGTCTTTCTGGCGGATGGTCACAGACATGAATGCAGACACACACACACACACACACACACACACGCCGACGCCAACGTGCCCGCGTGAACACATGCACTACGTACGCGCCCCGAGCACCTGCATCCCCATTTCCCACACTACCCAACCCCCTCGTTCCAACAACTAATCTCCCGAAATCCCGCACGTACGCCCATAGCATGACACACCGAAGCGCACACATACACACAGACACACCCATACCCTCGTCCCTCTTCGCCCCCTCACCTGCCCCCAGTAGCCCCAGCCCCACAATGGCATTGTTGGCCACCTCGCTGTCCTGGTCGTGACTCAGCCGGCTAAGGGTGTCCATCACCAGGACGTCGGGGTTGGAAATGTGGAGCAGCGCAATCGCCAGTGGTACGGCACGGCGGGCGGGAGCGTCGCCGTACTGTCGTACACATTTGTACGTGCACGTGCATGGGAGCAGTCAAAATGGCGGAGGCAGGGATGCAGAGGCGGAATGGAGACAGCGGAGAGAACAGGCAGGGGGTGGTGGTGGTGGTTTTCAACGGTGTTGCTGTTGGTGGTGACGTTGGGCTCGGGACAATCCATGGTACTTCATTGTACATCCAAACAGAGACACCGTGCAGGAGGGGGGCACGTGAAAATGCAACGGCAGTGCGTGACGTCCATAACCGACCAATGGGAGTTTATGTGATAGCTGTAGAGGCCAGGGGCCCAGCAAGGGCTGCTGCCACAAACCAACCCTCAAACTCCCGGTGCCCCCAAGGGCAATTCTTCACTTCTTCACAGAGTCTTATCATCTTCCACACATGCCCCACCGACCCAACCGCTCCTGGCTACGACCCAACCCCTCTGCCCTTCCCCAAACACGCACACCTGCAGCAGGTGCTCCAGTACCCTGCCCGCCATTTGGGAGCCCAAGGGCTCGGCCATTGCCAGCAGAGCCAAACCTAGGACTGCGGCACCTTGATGGATGGTCTGAAGAAAGGGGAGAAGGGTAAAAAAAGGCGGCACACACCGGGGGGTGAATGGGGAGGTGAATGGGGAGAGATATAGGAAGGGAAGGCAGTTGAGATAAGAGGATACTGGAAAGGAGTTCGTTGCACGTTTCGAAAATGTATTGCATAAGAACGATATAAACCCTCCAAGTACTGCTTAGCACCCACGTCACTCACCTTGTGCGTTGAGGACTCGTCCGCCGTAATGTGCTCCCCACACATGGCCAGTAGTCCTTGGACCTGAGGACAAATATGTATATCGCCCCAAATGCGTCACGAGAGAGGGACTGTATAGGACTGTAAGGAACACCGCAACAGCATGCAACGGCTGGCTGACTACGTGGTGTCGGTGTTTGTAGCCAGGAAAGAACCCTCTCCCATTTCCCAACACCCAGCAGCCCCACCAGCTCCTCCCGCTCTCTCCCCAACTCCAAAACCACCACCCACACACACACTCGCAGATGCGCATGGGCACATAAGCGCGACCCATATCGACAGAACGGCCTCACAACAATGGATAGTGGTGGAACATCTTTCCGGATCACACGAGTATGCACACACGCATCCAAATACACATGTGCGCCCTCTTAGCCCTTCCCCCCACCTTGAGTACGTTCCCTGTTCCCGCATACGCGCACGACTCCAGGGTAACCACCGCGAACTGACTAATGCGCTCACTCAGCGTCTTGACAACCTGAGTATGGGCCGGGAGGGGTGGGGGTGGAATCATATGGCGGTGCAAGGGGAAGCCAAGGGCCAACCGCAGCCATCCAAAGCACCCACTGCTGCGGGAATCAGTGCGGGAGCGCGGAGGGGGGGGATCAGCATGCAAGGGAAACGGAAACGGCGGGAACACCAAAGCCCTATTCTAAGCGGCGAATGTGCATGTGTAGAGCTGGATACAGTACCACACATACATACATACATACATACATACAGCCCCACCTCCACGGTGGCCTCCGCAAGCTCCTGCTTCCCCAGGAACATGAGCCCCAGTGACAGACACATGAGCTTGGCGTACGGCGTGGATAGCTCCGCATCAGAGCGGGACATCAGAGCCTGTTGGCAGGGGGGGGAAAGAGGGCAGAGGAAGATAATACTGCTGCTCCAGCCCCCAGCACCGTTACCGCACCATTACACACAAGAGCCCCCACTAGGCGGGTGCCCGGGTGCCCCTGCCCGTTGCCCGCAAGGACACAGGCGAAAAGTCTCTGCCACACGCACATTTCATCACAAATCGAACTAGAAGCCCCTCCCCCGCGCAACTCGTATCTTGGTTCATTTACCTTTCCTTGAACCCCTCTCCCTCTTCCCCACCTCCCCTCCCCTCCCTTACCTCCCCTACCTTCCCCTTCCCCCTATACCTGCAGTACCGACATGACCACATCCTCCCGCGCACTGCTGTTGAACACCAGGCCTAGGGCCAGAGCGGCGAAGGCGGAAACCTGCACAGGAGGAGGGTTAAGTGAGAGTCCAGGGGGGTTGCTTTGAGGTTGAACAGGTTTACATAAAGTAACAGGCAGGTGCGACCCTCCCTACTCCGTCCCCTTTCCTCCCCCCTCTCACCTCCACGGGCGCATCACTGTCCACCACCAGTGGCCCCAGAAGCTCCGAAACCTCCTCACGGCCCGTCCCCGCGTAGGCTAGACCCAAGCCGAGAATGGCGCCTGTGCGGCGAACCACACGGGCAGGACAGTGTCACCATGTCCAGGGAGGGAGGGTGGGGGACATGGTAGGAGGGCGGCAAGGCCGAGTGCGTGTAGGTGAGAGAATGCCAGGGCGCCGGAAAGCCACCTTGAAGGCGGAAATAGAAATCGTACAACTCGTGCGGGGTGTCCTCTCACGGGGCACACCTCCTCCTGACGCCCCAAAGGCAGCCAGCCATCATCCCCACCCCCACCCCACCCCACACAACTATGCCCCTGGACACCCCCGCTCTCTCACTCCCACACATTGATGCGCGCACCATACCCCTCATCCACTCAGTCCAAAGGAAGCTCAGTCCAGAGCAAGAGTCGCCTTTCTTAAATCCCCTTTCTCTGCCTAGCCCGCCGCTCAAACCTCTGTACAAACCAATTCATCTCACCCGCCCTACTCATGCCCGCCCCGCCAGCAAGCCAGTCAGCCACCCACCCACCCGTGCGGATATTCACATCCGAGTTCGACACGTAATCAGCGATGAGCGCGAACGCAGGGTCGTTTTCGTTCTGGACGCACGCATTAACCACACCGATGGCCAGCAGCGCGCCCGACTGAAAAACACACAAGGGGAGGTCAAGGTAAGAATATTACATCAGGCAAAGTTGGTGGCGCGTTGTAAAAAGGAGGATAACAAAAATGAACATAACGCAAGCATGCACCACGATAACCATGAACGACAGCATGCTGCAGTAACACAGCATGCGGGAAGTCCGGACCAGCCGCCGCCTAGCGGGTAATCGCTTTAATGATTAAGGCAGGCGTGAGACCCCTCCCTCAGAAAGGGGCCCCGGAGGCGTTTTAAGACGCCGGACGCAAGTGGGCGCCACCCGGCGTGACCCGATATGACCCGCATCACACACACACATAACCCCCGCCTCCTCCAGACTTCTTCAACACTTGCCAGCTCATCCAGGAGCAAGCACTCCCCCCAAGCAAGCGGACCATCCCCTTCCTACCGGCCCGCTACAACCCATGCCCCCTCGTGTCTCTCTTTCCCCTTACTACCACCCCCTTCCCTGGTCCGCCTTCCCCCTCCCTCACCCACACTCTTTTGCCACTGTCCTTCCTCCCCTCGCTCCCCCCAAGCCCCTCCCCGGGCCGCTGAGGGCTCCCTCCCCCTGCGTCCGGATGCTCCCCCTTCTCCCCCCCTAAAAACCAATATCGCCTCCCTCTACCGGGAGGAAGGTGACATAATGCGCGTAAATACGCACTGTTCAGACACGTTTTAGTCAACAGGTCCCCACTCACCACCACGTAGGGGTCTGAGGAGTACAAGTACTTGTCAATCTGTACAGCAGCAGCAGCAGCAGTAGCAACAGCAGCACCAGACGCCTTTACACTAGCAACAATCAGCTACAAAGAAGACAGCAGTAGCTACAGCAATTAGAAAAGCAGTAGCAGTAGCAGGCTCCAGGGCGCCCCGTACGGCAAAATGTCCAATAGTCCTGGCGGTAGTGTTCGAAGCAGCCGCTGCCCAATGAGAGCAGCCGAGCCAACACTAATGACGATAAACCGGTACGGCCCTCGCGCAGCAGGCAAAACAGCCATCCTCGTGTCCATCCCCACTAGGTGTGTCGAGAGCCCGCAGTGTAAATAGACAAACAACTGGGGGGGAGGACAACACAGCACCAGAAAGGTTCGCCGCCCTTCACTCTTCCCACCCACCCGCACACCCTCACTCGGGCTATAAATCCCATGTCCCCCCAATCGCCATTCTCCACTCACCCTTTCCAAGCCACGCCCCCTACCGTCCCCACGGGCCCCACCCTAACGCCCCCCAACCCCCCCCCGCCAACACACCTGCGGCAGACCCCCCTCCACGTCCCACAACGTGACCATCCCCAGCGAGGCAGTGGCGGATATCTTGCCGTGATCCTTGTTCTTGAAGATCCAGTGGACACTCTCCGAACCGCCACCTGAGATGTGCATATATACATATATACAGACATACATCAGGAGAGACGAGGGAGATGGCAGGCGGAAGCCAGCGGGGCAGGAGTTGAATAGCAGTAACGATATATGGATACATATAGAGACGACTGGGGTGTATACGACAGCCCAAGCCCCACGAGACACGCCGAAAAAGCTCCCGAGGCCCCTCGGAACCCTCCCTCACTCAATCACCCCCCATGCTGTGCGGGCCTCTACACCTCCTGTCCTCCTTCCCGCGCACCTTTTCCCCCAAAACACGCACACACATACATACAAACGTACCCGTCTCCGCTCCGGATCCCACAGTCACCAGCTTATCCTGACCGAAGCCCGCATTGACGAAGGCGTTCACAAAGGTAGCGGCCAGGTTGGCGCGGGCTGAGTCCACGGCTGCGGCGCCTGCGGGTGCGCGGCCCTCCGTCAGGTGCGTCTTGTACACGTCCTCCGGCGTCTTGGCCTCCATGACGTCCAGGTCGCGAGCCAGAGCCAGGAAATGCTCCGACAGCTTGGAGTTGGAAATGATCTCGCGAAGAGACTGTTTGGTAGTTGGTTCAAGTGGGCAGTAAAGTTGTTTGGCTAGGGTTGGTCAGGGTTGTTGGACGCGGCCTTGAGGGCGTGTTAAAAGTGAAGACGGTACGATATGGAAGACATGGAAGTACGGCGCAATGGTGTACGGCAGCAGGTAGAAATTTGAAAGTCACGCTCTGTGATGGATGGAAGGGTGCTTACGGCGGGCAAAAAAATAAATGTCAATTGCACTCAGCATGTAATGTAACCCCAAAGCCATGACGCGGGTGCTTCGGGATGTGCGTAGGGGGAAGCTCCGGCGGGATCACCAACCGGTGCTCCCTCCGGGCGTGTGAGAGGACCCCGACCTCGTAGCTCCGGGGCCCCAGTAACCCCGGCACAGGGCACCGACCCGCCAACTTCAAACACCCCATCATCCTGCCAACCCTGATTGGAACCGCAGTAGTACTGGCACATCTGGGCGGGATAAAACTCGTTCACTCGCGCGCACCCAATACACATGCTGCTCCTAGCGCTTACTCAGGCGACGTATATGTTCCTCCTACATGGTCCCAAATACATACATACGCACGGGTACCCTCCAGCGGCCCCGGGTATCCTCTCCCTCCCAGCACCCATAGACCCTCACATACATACATACACACATGCCTACCTCCCGCAACGAGTCGTCCTCCACAGCCGCCGGGCCCTCCTCCAGGTTTATTGAAAAACCGTGCCTGTCAAAGCACAAGGGGCAGCGTTTGGTGGCGAGGGAAAGGATTTGAGGGGGATGAAAACATGAAGAGTGAGGGGTGTATGTCCGGAAGGTGGTCCTGAGGGCGCCGACGCGACGGGGTTTTAGGAGAGGACTTCAAGAGGGCCTATATTCCAGGACTGGACAAATAAGAAAGACGCAACAAGGAGTCCCAAGGACATCGGGGCCCGGGTATACGATACTGAATCACATGATAATGTAAAACCCAAATAACCAACTGCCAACGGCTGAAACAGGATAAGTTACTACCAGGTCAAGTACGATTTTGAAGGGTACCTGCTAACCAGCCCGCGCCCGGGTCGTCCTTCCGCCCGCCGCTCTGCATCCCTGACCCACATCATCATCACCACCACCACACACGACCTCAACCCTTACCCAGTCTCCAACGGTGTACCCTCCTCAACACACCTCCCTAGACTTTTGGGGGCTCTTGCAGTTGTGCAGGTGCTTTGAACACCGTCACTTCATCCTTATGTTCTGTTGCATGTAATTCCATCTCTCTCAAACCCCCACACCCAACACCTGCCACCCTACTTCCTAACCCCAGCCAACCAACACACCCACCTAGCGAGCAGGTAGCCCAGCTGCTGCTTGGTCAGCGGCTCGCTACACGCCGCAAACACCCCCTCCACGTCCCCCCGGCTGTTCAGCCTCAGCGCCACCCGCAGAGCATCATGCCAGCGCTGCTGACTGCTGTAGATCCGGAGCGCCAGTCGCAACACCGCCGCGTCGTCGGGCTCAGGCAGGTAGGCACAGCAGGAGGTGAGATACAGACATGTACGACCAAAGTTCTTCTCGTCCACGTGAGACTCGAGAAGGTCCAGGGATTCCACCTGAAAGGGAGCCAGGGGGCCCGGGAATAAATAATACCCAAGACGCAAACATGGGGGGCCCCCAGGAGAGGAAAAGAGAACTGAGTAGGGAGGCAAGAGTAGTGGGATGAGCGAAGGGAGAAAAAACAGACAACCCTAAATCTCCTCTCCTTTACCCCTGAAACCACGAAAACCCCGGCACGGCACGGCATCCCAACCCCGAACACCCGACCAGACAGACCCCGGCATACATCACAGTCCGCACCTCCAGCAGCAGGTCAACAGCCTCCGGCTCCGCATTGTGCGTCATGTTGTACGGCACGATCTGCTTCACCAAGGTCATCAGGTCGTCCACAGCGGCTGCAGAGTCCGCCTCGCGCCGCACCCGGAACTCCTCCGCAATTTCCCCCGACAGGTGACGGATGTACTCGTGTCCCCAGGTACCCAGATCCGTGGTCGACCCAAGCAGTCGATACTTGAGCACCTCACGTGCTAGCTCCTTTGTGGTGGCTAAAATGGAGATAACGTCAGCGAGCATGGCACGGTTCTCGCCCTGCTCGGCAGGCATCGACTCCAACCGGGTCTTCATTGCATCGTAATGTGGACGCAGGAACTTCAGGGGCTTAGGCACGCTGGTCATGGATGCCGTAGCAGAGCGAATTTCCGATAACATTGTGGTGAGCGCAAGCTTCACGACGCCTGGGTCGGGGTCTCCTAAGCGTTCGACTGTCAAATCCAAATTATTCTTAAGAGTAAGGTCCTCCTCGCTAAGCTCTGGCTCTTTCTCCTCATCCTTGCCCTTGGCGCCCTTCTTGTCCTCCTTGGCGCCTTTGCCTTTTGGCTTGTCGTCGCTTGGCGCGACCATTGCTGGTCGATACTACAATATGAAAAGATAAGGCTGAACTATATGAGTTTAAAAGCTCAAGGGGATAGGAAAACAAACAAGGTTTGGCCGACAGATCTGATCGGAACTACCCTGCAGACCACCCCACGCCTTGAGAGACAGAAAGATAGGTACAATTAGACGCCTGACTCGTGCCAAGCCTCTTAACGTTTCTCCGCCTTCTGTGTCCTTGACCCGTAAAAATACTGTACGGTAGCCCTCTTGTAATCCCCATTTTACAATCCGTTTGGTAAGAAACTGTAACGCCGCTAAGACAATGATTGCAAATAGCTTGCAAGGCTTCCATCTGACAGGCTGATATGTTACGGCTTTGCTTGCACAGTCATGCCGGAAAGCCCCAACGTGTATCGGGTGGATGCAGGATAGCATACTATTTGGCGTGCCCGCGCGCAGAGTAATGAACATATTCCTTGATAAAGATGTACATTTTCGCAACCTTTAGATCTGGCGCACTAACGTTCGTCACGGTTGCGGGTTTCTTGCAGGGTTACTTTCGCCGCCCGGATCTATCCACGTCGCTTTCAAAGCAGTAATGTCTAGGACTGACACCAGACCCCTACTACACCAGCTACCTGCGTCCCTCACATTCATGAGATTTAAGGTTGTGGTGTGCGCGGAAGCAAGTCCTATCCGAACGCAGGGCCCTGGCAGCCATACTCGAGAATCAGTACCCTCAGCACCAAACGGCCCATCAGGATACGGAAAGTAGGCCTCATCTTTCGGTGACCTCCAACCTCTTTAGCCCTGTTTTTGGTGCTGCATGTGTCGCGGGGCTGTCTCCCCCGGGCCCACAAACTGTCCTCTCGCGCGCGAAGGGAAGCCAGGAGATTACCAGGAACCCTAAGTGGCGCCAGTTGGCAAATTCCATCCGACCACGGCCACGACAAGGAAGGAGGAACTAAGCAAGGCGATGCAGGGTTGCCCAGCTGTTGCTGAGACGCAATCGGCAGCAGGGAGTGAGAGAGGGAGCTTTCCCTCGCCTCCAAGCGAGGCAGGCATCCGGACATGTCGTGCAGTGCCACGACTTGTTGCATGGTGTCGTGCCTTGTGTCGCTGTTGTCACTTAAGGGTTTTGGAGGGGTCAGAGGCTCTCGCTGTCTGCAGTGCCATGCTCCTAGCAGACCGGAAAGAGCTCATTTCGGATAAAAGATGGACGTGATGATTGACAGAGTTATTGCAAAAGAATGAAAGATGATGGCGCTGGTCCCCATGATGATATCCCATAATCAAGTCAACCACGCAGCAACGATCATAAAAAGATATGCGAAACGCTCCTCACAAATGAAAAGGCAAAGGGCAAAGCTGCAGCAGCGATATGCATATGGCGTAAATTAAAAACCCTTCCTCACGAGAAAGAGAGAAAAATGGGTATTCCGCAGAAGTCCATAAAAAGGCGTACGACCTATATTGAAACCGCTTATCACAGCACGCCGGTTGATATCGCTCCAGCCGGCAACCTTGTCACCGTAAGAGCTCCAGCCGGTTTGCCTGCACCCGCCAACATTCAGCCACCGGCGAGATTCAGCGCGCAAGCTGCCGTACGCCTCTTCAACCCGCCATATGAAAAATCGTTGCTCCTGCTGCCAGCCATCTTGGCAATGGCTCCAGACGGACAGACAGACAGACAAGATAGACTAACTCGTTGCCTAAATCACCACCACCTGCTCCATGCAGTCGCTTTACGGAGTCCGACGGTGAAGGGAAAATGCATCGGGCCCTTTCGGGCCCACAGCAGCATGTAGAATAATGATTTTCACCGCCGCCAGCACCATCGACCCCCCACCTATCTTCATCACCAGAATTAACCATAATTCGCTCAGCCCTCAAGGCGCCTTCCCCGGAGTTATACCACACGGTAATCCCAGACTCGCTCATATGTAGCGCCGTACCCGCCATACCCGTACCGGCCCGCCCGTACATCCACACTATACACCATTGTTGCATGGCACAATCGCATGGTAATAGGACATGATGCGAAAGCGGCAACTCCCTCCCTCAGCCGTGAGCTAGGGCCCGAGCTGCACCTGTGTCTGAAGGACAGGCCGTCCTGGCGGGGCGGGCGGGGTTTCCCTCGGAGGGCATCGCGTACAAAATGCTTGCGTCGACAGGATAGAGTTATGCAGCAAGACAACGTAGTGACAGAAGCACACGGATAGACATACAGACGTAAAAGACCCCCGAATATAAGGCATGCGTTTGTCCATCCACATGTCACACATAACAGCATACATACACCCTACTCCCCAAAAAGGCTTGCATGGCTTGGGGATATGCACGCATACACGTATGCGCTCAGTCCCTCGCGCTTTTTACAAGGCGCATGCGTTATTCGAGCAGAAGCGTACACACACGCACACGCACACGCACACACCACAGAGAAGCCTTTATGGACGTACAAACGGTTTGTACGTCAATTCGCTCAGATCCAGCTCGCCCTAGGCAGGGGCAGTGAGTGACAAAAGGCGCATACACGACAGAGCCGCATAGGCTCTAGGTGAGCTGCACCAGCCTGTAGAGCACTGCGGTTAGTGAGTGCACTCAATCACATGGACCCGAACCCACTTAGCCCGGGCACGCCAACAACAAACAACAAAAAGTCACGCAAGCGGGTTTCAAAGCGATGTACGGTCACACACACATGCATGTATGTATGTGTGCATGTATGTAACGGACACACACACAAACATACATACACACATACACGCACCTACACACACACGCGGCAGCCTCTGCACGAGCACCTCGGGTAACGTTAGCGCCCCTACGTTACAATAACAATAACACCCATAGATGCCCCCGCTACATGGCAAGCTCACATACATACATATGCATGTACATAATGACACACATACACAAGCAAAGGAAGCGCCCGCACAGTCCGGTAAGCCGCTGCTTGGCCGCCTTACTATCGATTGAACTTTATAGCTCTCAGCTGCTCACGCGCTGCTCCATTCGGGCCAACCCATCAGTCACCCTCGCATATGCCGTGCCGCCCAACAAGGCCATGAAGACACCCTCTGACGGCCCCTCGAGCGAAGATTTGAAGACTGACTGCAAAGCACACGCACACAATCGCACACGCACACGCACACACGCAAGCGGGGGGACTCTGCATATGCTCCCTCTTAATACCGGTAGCTCCCTCTTTCAACACCCTCTTATCCGTGGCTGCGCTCTCAACCAGAACACAAGACAAGTTTGCTGCTTGTCTGTACGGCCGTTTTGCTCCCCCCCCAGTACTTGACCATGAAATGACATAACCGTGTTCGTCACATACATACATACATACACATACATGTAGTCAAATTAACAGCAGTTGCAGCAGTTGCAGCAGTAGCAGCTAGTGGTCTAGCCACCTGCATCAATAACAAGACAACCGCGCGCACCCCAGTCCTCGCTAACCCTTGACCAACTAGTAACCAGCATAACCAGCTTCTTCGGAACACCTCTCTCGCCCAAAGCCCCTTTGCCCTTATGTGCATAGTAATAAGCAAGTAATCAGAAACCCATTTCCTTTCCGTTCTTATCCCGGACTACCGCAATGACGTCCCTCTACAGCTGCAGCAACAACCCTCGGCCCGGCATCTGTCAGTAACCAACGCTTGCATAGAGCCATGCGGTACGAGCACCACAGTACGACTTTTGCCGTACGATAGATCGTCAGGCAGCCAGGAGGACGGGACTCATCGATGTGCGTGGCCGTGTCCCCCTCTGAGGCCGTGACTGCCCTTCTCAGGGCCGGCACCCTTAGACCGACCAGTCGCGCCACCACCGCCACCGCCACCGCCACCGCCGCCGTTTTCGTCAGGCGAGTTGCTTCCAGAATCCGAACCGTTCTTCCCGTTACCGCCCCCCGTATCCGCCATGGCGCCTGCAACATCACGCTCGCGTGCCTCACGTTCCCGGTTCGAATCCCAGTGCTCGCGATCACGCTCCCGATCACGCTCCCGCTCCCGATCCCGATCCCGCTCCCGGTGACCACCTTCCCCCCACGGGTCTACTCCGTGCAAGCCACTGCTACCACGACCACCACCACCAAGGCCGCCACCGCCGCCGCTTTGCCCGTGCGGCGGCCCTTGCTGCTGCGTCGCCTGTAAGCTACAGCCACCCTGAATCTGACTCTGCTGCTGCTGCTGCTGCTGGTGCCCCCCGCAATGACCGTTGGCGCCTCCCCCACCGCCTCCTCGGAATCCGCCTCCTGCGGCGCCGCCGCCTCCGCCGGAATGCAACCCCGATCCTCCTCCCTGCGCCTGCTGCTGTTGCTGCTGCTGTGATGATTGCGCATACTGCGTCAGACCGGCAGATCCCATTGGTAACGTCCCATGTAGGGAGGGCGGCTGCTGGGAGGCCGCGCGGGGAAGACCTGACTGCTGCTGCGGCGGCTGCGTCAGCGCCGCCGCCGCCGCCGCCGCGACTGCAGCCATCCCTGGCCCATCGGCCAGCGCCGTCGCCGCTGTCCCCGCGGAGCCCTGTTGTGGCTGTTGCTGTTGCAGCTGCTGCGGCGGCTGTAGCTGGCTGCTGCCTTGGGCCGCGAGCAGAGCACCGGAGGGCGGTGGCAGTGAGGTGGGCTGCAGCACCAGCAGGGGTAGAGACCCACCGGGGCCCTCTCCCGCGGGTGTGTGTTGGCGATGAAGGCCGTGGTGGTGGTGGTGGTGTCTGCGGCAGGTAGTGTCAGCAAAACCAACCGCAGCAATAACAGTTTAGCAGCAGCAGTGGCAGTAGCAGCATAAGCAGTCCCAGTTTTGCAATAGCAGTAGCAGCCGCAATTTTTAGCAGCCGCAATTTTCAGAAGTCGCGGTTTAGTAGCAGCAGTAGCAGCGACAGCCAGTCACATAGGTACACCCCCGGCAGTTTAGAGCTATAACCGAAGTCAGGAGTTCGAGGAGATCGAGGGATCAGAGTTACAGAACCGCAATCACCCCTACCACCTACCCTACCAGAAGCGGCAAGGGTCGCCAGCCGGTCGGCAATGCATGTCAGGCCCTAGACCAGGCAACAAATCTCCCCCCGCCTAGCAGCAGATCTGAAAGCAACCCCTCAGGTCACCCCCTAGGGGGCGGGAGGAGAATACGGAAGAGCCGCGGAAGCCAGCAGCATATCCACCAGCCGCAGTCACCGAGAGCCTTCTCCCCCTCCCCTTCGGAACACACCAGCACCACCTACCTGCTACTGTGTCCACGGTCTCGATCTCGATCTCGATCTCGGTCGTGGGAATGAGAGGGCACCGCGTGCGCAGCTCCTCCGTGGGAATGGCCCTGGGGGGACTGTTGGGACTGAAGTGCCCCCTGCTGCTGCTGCTGCTGCTGGTGTTGTAGTTGTAGCTGGCTGTGCGGCTGACTGTGGCTGTGACCGTGGCTATGTCCCCGGCTGTGCCCCCGGTCTCGGGACAGAGAGCCCTGACTGCCCACGGAACGAGTCGCCTTGGCCTCCTGGAGTGGTTGGGAGTTGGTTGGGGGTTGGTTGGGAGTTGGTTGGGGGTTAATGACGGTGATGATCATAAGTCCGTAATTTGTGAGGGTAGCGACCGACCTCGGGGGACTCGAGCCGGACTCGAGGGCGGGAGTGGGCGCCGACTGGGCCCAGGGCGGGAATCAATAGCCTGACAGGGAGCGCTGCACCTACCCAGGGAGGAGCTGTCTGCAGCGGTACCGGTCCGTAACGTTACCGTCCCCCGGGTGCCCCCCCACCCGGTATACTTGTAACCCTTACTTGTTCAGCAGCTGCTGCACATATGTGTGCATATGTATGTATGCACACATAGGCAAGTAGCTACAGGCGCTTCCTTCCCCAACGGGCCGCCACTACTACCACCAGCACCAGCACCCATAAGCTTGGAGGTTACCTTTGAATGCATGTTTATGTAAAGTGCGCGGAGGTGCGGTACATATATACAGACACATGCACACACACAAATGACCAGTAGAGGACGAGGTGACCACGCGGGAGACACCCTCACCCTCACCCTCACCTGCACAAGCAGCATCGGCGTCATATCGGCATCTGGTGGTGGCCGGCTCTGGCGGTACAGTACGAGTGCACAGAGGTCACATTGCAGCGGCAGCAACAGCAAACAGGCAAAAGATGTTGCCACACGGCAACAGAGCGGTCTCTTAGCCGCTTCGGAGAATGCAGGAGGAAGGGGTGGGGTGAGGTGGGATGGGGTGGAGGGCCTATGTGGAGCAACCGGTCGAACCCACCAAGGAAGTCGGAGCCAGACCTGTCCACACATACCGCATATACCCCGATACCATACCCCGGACATACATACATACATCTTCCGACATCTGGTCTACCGGCTTTATTGGCCTTCAGCGCCTGGACGCATCTGAATGTGGTAACAGTACGAACAGTACGGCGGTACGGATGTATGAAGATGGATCAGAAACACATCAGACGCGATTCAAAACCATACCCTCACGCACCCGCATCAAGTGTACGGCATCCCGCAGTCCCATCAGACTGCGGACCACAACCGCAGCAGCCGCAGCCGCATGAGCCTCCGCATCGTCATCCTCGTCGATTGCTGCGGGGAGGCCGCAGCTGCCGCTACGAGGAAGTGCTGCAGCCGCAACGGCGGCCGCAGCGGCGCCGCCGCCGCCGCCGCCACCGCCACCACTGGGACCGGGCGACGTTGACTTGGATGGTCCGTTGCCACCAGCGCCGCCGCCGCCTCCTCCTCCTCCGCCACCGCCGGCGCAGCCACAGGCCTTGATGCCAGCTCCGCCGCCTCCATCCTGGGCCCCGGTCTCTCCCCCCTCTGTAAGGCCCTCTGGATCCAGATCCATAAGATCCTCCCGACAACCTCTCAGCTGCTGTCGAGAACGGGAAAGGAAACTCATTTAAACGTGTAAGAGTATGCCCATACGCATGTATGTATGTCACAGCGGCAAGTGTTTGCGGGAGAAAAGAGCTGATCGTTCGTCCAGCAAGAAAATAGCGCCCCGATGGACCCGTATGTATGTCTGTACGTATGTGTGATGCGGACCTAGCTCACAGGGGCAACAAGGGTGGAAGGTGAGGGAAGGAACCAAGAGTGCACCAGGCAGGTCCATGCCAGGCCGCCTTATGCTAGGCCGCCTTAAGCTAGGCCTTTTGCTAGGCCTTATGCTAGGCGTTATGCTAGGCCTTATGCTAGAGCGTTATGCTAGACCTTATGCTAGGCGTTATGCTAGGCCTTATGCTAGGCGTTATGCAAGGGGACTTATGCTAGGGGACTTATCGCCTATCGCTAGATTTGTTGATTGAGGCGGCACCAGGCAGCAATGGCGACTCTAAACTGGTTGTCTCGGTGGGGGGAAACTTCCAACGGCCTCTTGGACCGTTGGGACCGTTGGGACCGTTGGGACCGTTGGGAAGGAAATTTCCAACACTGCACTTCCCCACCACTTCCCCACCGCTTCCACACCACCCTCCCTACCTCCCACCCAGTGCTCACTCACACCCTGTTGTTGCTGATGCTGTTGATGTTGATGTTGGTGCTGGTGCTGCATAATCATGAGCGCCTCTGGGAGGTCAGGTTGTGGTGGTTGTTGGGGGTTGTGCTGGCTGCCGCTGCCGCCGCCGCCAACACCGCCGCCGCCGCCGCCCAGTTCCATCATGTCGTCGGGTTCCGCCTCCGTCTCGTCCTCCTCCGCGTCTTCAATGTCGTAGTCCTCCTCCTGGCGGCGGGCGGTGGCGGTTCCGGGTTTGACACGGCGGGAGGCGGGTTATGGAGGTTGGGGGTTTCGGGGCGAGGGGGGAGGCAAGCGGGAAGAGACGGAACGGAAGCAGGGAGCCAATGCGCGATAAGGGGTTGATGGTGGTGACTATGGAGGTGCGGTGGTGAGGGCGGAGGGTGAAAGTGTTGCGGGTTGGGCCACCTGTCTGACGGAGGAGAGGCCCACCCCTACACACTAAGGTGATCCTCTTGTAGTGGTGGTGGGTAAGGTGTAAAGAGTGGGGATGACGCGAAACGCGGGGGAAACGGTGGGGTAAGGGAATGAACACCGGGTGGTGGTAACGTGAACACCGGAGTACTCAGAAGCCTCGTAAGTAGTGCAGGAAGGAGCAGCTCCTACCTACGCAACGCCACCAAAGCTGCCCTTTAAGCCTTGTACGATTGTGATACACGGTACGGCAGTACTACAATCCTACCTCGTAATATCCCCGGCTATTCGTCTGAACTTCGTCGTCGCCCCCGCCGTCATCGCCTGCCACGCCGCCGGCGCCGCCAGTGCCGCTTTTGGCGCCATTACTAATGGTCGGAGCGCCGTCGTCCATCATTCCGCCGTCGCCGTCACCGTCTCCGCCGCCGCCACCGGCACCTCCACCGCCGTCGCCGCCACCGCTTCCGTGTTTGGTGAACTGGCCCCGCACTCTCGGCCGCTGCTGCGCTAGCTGCTTCCTCGCCTCGTAGCGAATGGTCTTTGAGAAGCGCAGATTCTGTGGGAAGTGGGAACATGTTTTTTTCAGCAGCAGGAGTGGTGGTGGCAGTGGTAGTGGTGGGGGGAGCCTAGCCCCCAGGGAGTCAATGGATGCACTCGGAATGGTGGCAACGGCGATGATGGTAATTTACATGATGGGAAGGGGACGGCGAGAAGGGGGCACTCCATCACGAGATGTACGCAGTAAGCCATGATCGAATGAATGATTAAATGAATCCCACCTTTCTCTTCTTGCGGTACTTATCCAGAGCCAGCGCCCTCCTCCTCTTGGGCTCCGGAACCCCACTGCCCCCCGGGACCGCCAGTGCCCGACCCAACCGGCAGCCGTCAGCGGCACCGGACATCCGCAAACCTGCAGTAGCGGCAGTGACAGTGGCAGCGTTAGTAAGCGATCTAGCAACAATTGCATCAGCAATCGCATCATTACCATCGGCAGCTTGTTTTAAGTAGCAGCAGCAGCAGCAGTAGCAGCCGGACCAGTAGCAGCAATGACAAGAACGGTGCCAGCGCCAAGAAGGAGCCCAAAAGTCAAAAGACTCTTAGGTTAAGCCCCCTGAATATCACCCCCCATCACCATTACCCTTTCACTTGGCGGCCGCTTGTAGGGTACGGCAGTCGCTTCATCTTCTAGCCCGCCGTACCCTTGGATAGGATAGGTCATCCGGGATAAGTAATCCCCTTGCAGGTCCCTGCCCCGGTCCACCCCGGTCTAGCCGTCCCCCTACCTCTCCCCCCCAGGTAAGGTAAACCCCACCAAACAACCCAGGTACACCCCCTTGAGGCCTCTAAACCCTCCAGCGGCTCCTCACCTGCGACCAAGGCGTGTTCAGGCAGCAGAGGGGGCCCTGCGGGCCCCCCATGGCCCGGAGGCAGGGATCCAGGGAAAGGTAACACCCCCGCGGCCGCGGCGGCGGCGGCGGCCATTGACGCTGGGGTGAATGGGGGAGGTCGCCAGGCGGCCGCCGCCGCCGCCACCGCCGCCGCCGCCGCAGCGGCTGCCTGCTGGTGCTGCTGGTGGTGCTGCGGCATTGACGGCATCTGGTGGGCATGGGGATGGGGGCCGCCGATGCGAGATGATGTGCCCGGCAGTGCGGGGTGACCCAAGCCCTGCTGCTGCGGATGCCTTGCGACGCCCATAGGGCCCTGCACAGTCGACACACACACATACATACATATAAACAGTACGGTTGTTGTGGTTCAGAGAGAGGTTTTCCATAGCTGCTTATTGCTAACCGTCCGCCAGGTTCCACGAAAGGTGGAACTTCTAACTAACAGGCCCTCTACCTAGAAGGAGACCATACTGGCCTGCTACTGCCCGCCCTGGACTGCCAACTGCCATCGACCTAACAGCGAAGCAGCAGTTGCTGTCAGGTCGTTCGCTGCAGTCGGTCGGTCAGTCGGTCGGTCAGTCAGTCGGTCAGCCCGACTCCTCATGAGCACCGGACCGCACGGCACCACGCAATGTCCCACCACTAAGGGGCGCAGCACAGCTCTGTCCCTCCACTAAGAAGAGACGCCAGCGGCTCGCAGCTGACAGCCCTCCCTCACTGCGGCCTGGCGCTGCCGGTCTCCATCTGCTGCTGCGGACCCCCCCCCTCAATCATCTCATCCCTCCTCAAGCTCCCAAACGCCTCCACACAGCACAACACAGCAGAACACAGCAGAACTCAACCAATCTAAATCCCTTATCATCTATCAAACCTAAATTCCTTAAATGCTAGAAACGAAAGTTAATAAGTCAAATTCCATAACAGGCGCACTTGTAATGTATTCAACTTCAAAAGATACACCCCCTTAATGAAACACGACAGCCGCATCAGCCCCCCAAACGAAACATCCGTCAGAAACCAGCTCTCAGCTCACTGTGGGGTGACCCAGGAACGCCGTTAGCGTGACGCCACTGGCCAGCAGCTGGTTGAGGAGCATCGCGTTGAAGTTGGTGGCGCCGCTGGTGGGCGCGGTGGCGGCGCCGCCGGGGCTCTCCCCTGGAGGCAACGGCCCAAACAACAGACCCCCGGCCGCGGTGCCGCCGCCACCGCCGTGGGCGCCACCACGGACAGCTGCAGCGGCCTGGTGCACTTGATGAACCTGGTGCGCCTGTTGCTGTCCCAAAGACGGCGTTTCATGGAGGGGAATTTGGAGGGGGGGGGCCCGCGGTATTTCAGGAGCGGGGGAGTTGGGGGGACAGTCACGGGGGGCGTTTGGGGGAGTGGAGGGGTGTTTATATCGTCGTCGTGTGTGTGTGTGTGTGTGTGTGTGCCTTGATGACCCATCCACTAGGACGATGGGTGCGGAAGGGTGTTGCTGTTGGGATGCGAGTGGCCGGGGTGGCGACAACACGGGAGGGGTCGCAGGGAATGGCGGCAAGAGGTTACGTAACCTAGGTAAAACGGCGGTAAAATAGCCGCGTGGTAAAGGTGGGCGCTTAAATCTCTCTACACACATGCAAAGGCAGGATAAGCGTTTTTTCCTCAGGATTGAGATCATCGTGATATGGCAGCGCGCTCATTAGCAGCAGTAGCGCAAGGGCCAAGTTGGGGCCAAGTGGCGGGCAGCGGAGAGAGCTGCTGGCCGCCAAGCCATCGGCCCAGTCATCGAACGTACACCAGTGCATAAAACACGCAACCGAAGTGGGATCGAGCCCTCGAGCCCCCTCGCCGCCGATACGGCACATCTGACTGGGGACGAACCAAATGAAAGAAGCGACAGAGCAGAACCAACACGACAGGTGTCGCACGTGATGGTACGTGCCGTACTGCCGTACAAGGCCCCGTACCTCACTCGCCACCGCCGCTGCCGCCAACGCCACCACCTCCGGTGGGGAAAAAGGCAAGATGGACTGCGTGGCGGGCATATGACGTGGCNGTGGTGGGGTGGGGTGGGGCGGGAGGTGTGTGTGTGTGTTTTGCTTGTATGCACGGCAGGTGGGACGAGAGACGCCAGAGACAGGTCACGGGCCACACGGGACCTGACCGGTGTCTATTCAGGCTGAGGCGGGTCCGAGTAGCTGCGGAGGAGGGGCCGGGGAAGGGGCAGGGGGAGGGGCCGCAGAGAAAAGAGACTCCGAAACGGTGGAGAGGCAGAACTGAGTGCTAGCAATAAGGCCCGGGGCATTGGCCCGCAGCCCATATGCCATATACCTCTGTCCCCACCGCCACCGCCACCGCCACGGGATCTTTTCCCTTGCAAGCTCACGCTCGCGCGCGCACACGGCCCTAAGCCACCGGGCTGCTGGGTTTTGCCGTACCCGGGCACTGACGCAGCGTGACCCTCCTTCCCCCTCTCCCCTTCCTTAGCACGATCCCGCAAACCTCCCAAGACACACGAACCCGGACACGGACCCACGGGTTAGGAAAGGGCCTTCAGCTCTGACCGTGCCCCTGATCTCGTCCCGCCTGCCGTACAACAAAACACACAAAGCCTGCACCCCACCTCACCCCACCCCGGCGTCTTGTTCCCCTTCCTCCCCAATCCAGGACCGGCCAGGGAGGGTGGTCAATTACCTCCAAATCCCCCAAACAGTCCAACCTTTTCCTTTCCCCCCTTCCCCCTCGCCTTTCTCCCGCCCCCAGCGATTTCAACAACCCTAAGTAAAACATCCCAAACAAAACAGCCTCCGCCTCCGCTGTCTGCCTGCCGTACAACAAAATCCCCAATCAACATTGCCTTAAACAGCGGAATTGCGAGAGGAAAGATAAGAAAGGAAACGAATGAAAAATACAGTGAAAAACCACAAAAAGAGAAAACACTAAAGAGAAAAAGAAGAGAATTAAGGTTAGAAGGAAGAGGGAAGAGCAACTCCTCCCTCGTTCCACTTCTTCTCCTCCGCCTCCCCCCGTCTTCCGCCTCTCCCCCTCTTCCGCCTCTCTGAGTCTGATGATGGAGGAGGAGAAGGAGTGGGAGGAGGAGGGAGGAGGGGAAAGACGAACCACAAACGAGGAAGGGGAGGGGGGAGGAAAGGGAGAAGGGGCAGGAGGGAGAGGAGGAGAGGGAGGGGGAGGAGAAGGAGCAGGGGAAAGGGGAGGAGGAGCAGGTGGAGGAGGGGGAGGGGGAGGAGGAGCGGGAGAGGAAGGAGAAGGGGGAGGGAAAAAAGACGAACCACTGGCGGGGGGAGAGGACAAGAAGAAGCCCCAATTTCTTTCCTTCACCTGCAACTGAACCACCTGATCCAAACCTCCTGCGGCGCCAGGACCACCGGCACCACCACCGCCGCCAGCGGCCACCATAGGGCCCCCGGGGCCGCCAGCCACCGCGAATCTCATTGCGGGATGGTGCGTTCCCGCCACGCCAACTCCCATCGCCATTCGCGGAAGGATGTGGCTGGCGGGGGCGAGGCCTGAAGGGGGGGTGGGCCCGGCAGGGGTGAGAGGGCTGAGCGGGGGGCTCTCGGGGGAGTGTATGCGGAGGAAAACGTCGGTTGGTGGTGGCGGGTGTGGTGCGACGTCATGCAGCGGTAGCCGCAATGAGGCCAAGGGGGTTACCCTGTGTGTATGGGTCATAGGGCCCGATCAGGTCGGGGGGGCGGTTAATGCTGAGAGCTGACTGAAGTGGTGCCAAGTACCTCTAAAACTCCCGAACAGCCCCTCCAGCTGTCTGAGGGCACCCGTCAGACCACCCCACGTATTCGCGTACTAAAAAGGCACACACGGATTTGCGCACACACACGGTATCGCACGCGCATGCCCGCACGCGCGCACATACATACATACATATATACATACATACACAACCCCTAAAGTTTCCCATTCCACACACGCCTCATTAATACTACTCTTCCTCTCCATTTTACAAATAACAAACATTTTAGAAACGAACAAGGTTTCATCCGAACGACATCAAAACACCGAAGCGCACCAAAGGGTGTTGCAAACATGCCGGGAAACGCTGCGGGGGCCCCCGCCGCAGCCGCCGCCGCCGCTGCCGCAGCAGCAGCGGCGGCGGCGGACACTCCAGGGGGCCCAACCGCCGTTGCCAGTCGAGCCAAATGATGGTGCGCTGGGTGGTGATGGTGGTGCGCTGACAGGGCGTGGGGTGGCACCAGGGCCCCCGGGGGCCAGACAGCTGCCGCCGCCGGGCCCTGTAACCCCCCTGCGCCCCCCTGCTGCTGCTGGGATTGCTGCTGCTGCAGCTGTGACGATGGTTGCTGAGTGGCATGCTGCCCGGAGCGGCTTGTGCCGCCGGCGGCGGCAGCGGCGGCGGCGGCTGCCGCGGCGGTTGCAGCGCTGCTGCCGCCAGCTCCGCCTCCCGACGGCGGCGGGTGCGTTTGCATGGAGGCGTAGTGGCTCGGGGAGATGCCTTGCGACCCGGGAAGGTCGTTAGATAGCGCGGGCTGCTGCGGCTGGTGTGCGTGTAGATGGGGATGTGGGTGCTGCTTTCCGTTGTTGTACGAAGAGCCGTTATTTGCGGTGCCGCCGCCGCTCAGGGGTCCGCCGCCGCCGCCAGTGCCGCCGCTAGCGCCGGTGCCCCCGGCAGTACCGGCGCCGCCAGTGCCGCCCCCGCTGCGGGCCCCGACGGCTCCGGCTCTGGCAGTAGCGGTGGCGGGGCTGAACGTGTCCTCGGACAGCGTTTGAGCGCCCCCGCTGACTCCGGAGGCCCTCAACTGTTGCGTGTGCGCGTTGGGGAGTCGAGATTGAGGAGGGCGTAGGTAAGTAGGTAGGTACGGCAAATTGGACAAATGTACTACTAGTACTACTACTACTACTACTACTAGTACCGGGTAATGACCCCGGTAATGACAAAAGGGTCAGAACATGAAACTATTGTACATTATTAATACTCAGTTTGGGACTACTAGGGGGACTACTAGGGGCTTACTGAGGCCCCATGGGGTACCAGGGACTTCAGGGGGTAGAGCGGGGTAGAGGGGTTAGCGGGGTAGAGGGGTTAGCGGGGTTAGCGGTGCAAACCCCCCACGGGTTTTCTTCAGCCCCCATCCCCGCCCTCCCAACCGGTTCCCCCCAGTAATCACCCAAACCCTGACGCCGAAAATGGCCTCCAATTCAAATCCCTCGCCACCACAAAAACGTGGGTATGGTCACCCCCCTCCACCCCCAAGGCACATACCGCCGCTGCCCCCCGCTCTCTCTCCCGCTCCCGCTCCCGGTCGCGGTCCCGCTGCATTCCGGCCTTTGATCGGCCCTGAGCCACCAATGCGCCGCCACCGCTGCCGCCACCACCGCCGCTGCCCGTACCGCCGGCGCCGCCGCCCGTCGCAATCCCCTCCGCCGTTGGCATACCGCTGCCGCCAGTGCCGTTATCCTCCTCCATGACATCAGTACGACATAACGGATCGCGACTGCCTGGCTGTACGGCTTCCGACGTCGCAGCGCGCTTGCGGCTGGACGAGCTGGGCCCTACGTACTGCGCGAAAGCGGACGAGCGCCCCATGATGCCTTGACTCTTGACAGCTCCCTGACCACCGGAACGCATAGACAGACATACAGATAGACAGACTTACGGACGGATAGACACGGGATTGCCAGTAGGGGTTTGGCTGCCTTCCTGAAGGGGGGCCCTATACTTACTGCACCCCGCATGCCCTCCCCAGCCCGCAGACACCCACTTAGCCTCACTCCCCATCCGAGCTGCTGTGCAACACGTACACGGGGCAACAGCACGCAACATCGGGATCTATCTATCAGTTAACTGCTAAGCAAAGCAGATTCACTCGGCAGTCGGGCCATCATGGGCCGTTCAAAATAAAAGCCGTAAACCATGCACGACACAGATCGTACCGTCAATCCATCGTGGCTGCTCAGGTTTGGCGGCATTTTCCCCTCAGCAGTGTTGATGAGCGCCTGGTAGTGTCGATCAATTGCCAATGTCGTACTAGCGCCGTTACCGTTAGAGCCGTTACCGGTACCATCACCCTTCGTTGCGGAGTTCCCATTGCCGCCGTTCTTGTTATCCGAGGAGCCATTTGAACCGTTTCCATTGGAACCGTGACCGTTACCGTTATTGGATCCGTGACCGTTACCGTTGGACCCGTGGCCATTGTCCTTGTTGTCACAGTGAATTTTGGCGTCCACTCTGGAACGTCGTTAATGAGGGGGAGGGCGCGGGGGCATGGACGAGGAAAGGGGGACTGAGGGGTGAGGGAGGGGCATGGCGATGGACGAGATGGGCAAGGAAATGTATGGCAGGCGGCGCGCAGGGTAAGCAGCATGCGTGATGATAGCAGCTGCTGTAAATGGTAAGGAACGGCCTCCTAGACCATTAGGCAGGACGTCTGGGGGCATCAAGGGGAGGAAAAAGAAGCGACGCAAGGAATGAGTTTCGGCGAGGGAAGAGGAAAGATAGGAGCTCCGGCGTTCAGATAGTGAAGTAGGAGCATTGGTGTGCAGGTAAGGTCGCCAGAAGGAGGATAGGTACTTCTAGCTGACAAGGTAGGAAGGAAAGGAGGGGGACTGCGCCCGGAACGTACCGGCTGGTGCCATTGCCTTCTTTGCTGCCATTACTGCCATCACCCTTGCTTCCATGTCCGTTTCCATTGTCAGGTGCACTTCCTTCCTTTGAGGTCGGTTCGTCTTCCTCTTGGCTGTAGGGCGGTCATGCCCAAAGGCAACCGAGGGTCATACAGTAAGCGACAGGGTTTTGGAAAATGAACATATTGTATGTAAGTTCCTTGTGATGACCAAAGTCAACGGTAAAGTATTTAATACTTCAAAAATCATGCTGGAGAGACGTCAGGAGAGTGCAGTAAACAAATGTATTAAACGTTACGTACAGCGGAGCCGAACACGGTGATATCGTGTTTGCTCAAATTCACATGTCACCATTTTGAAACCAACATAAAAGGAATGTCGTAATGAAAATGTATCATGCGCATAACTATCAACACGACTATCAACACGAGAACATTGAACACGCCTTCATGCCAAAGCGGTGCTGGGTCACGTACTTGGTCTGCTTCGAGTCACTAGAGGTGGCCTCGTACTGCCGGTTTGCGCTGCTTGGACCCCGAAAAGCGTAATGACGCACGGCGTGCATTGCGACGCTAGGAAGAGCCGCCGCGTGCTGGTTTTGACTCTGCGCACAGACAATTGCAAGGAATTGTTTACGACGGTACCGAATCTGATTCAGGAAACAAAAGGAGTATGTCGTCACTTCGAGGTCAGCGGTCATTACCTTCCTCCACCACCATACTCGCGTCCAGATGTGACGAAGCTCATTTTGCCTCAAAGGTTTGATAAGGTAATCAATAGCTCCAAGAGAAAGGCAAGACATAACGGTCTCTCGCTCATCTTGGGTGGAGGTCACTGCAAAGATATTTTTTCACACATAAAATATCTTACGCAATAGTCGGCAGCGCACGCCCACATGCACAATTTTAATTCAATGGCGTATTTTAAGAACAAATAAACTCACCAACCACAGGAGTGCGTGTCAGACCCTCTGTCTTGGCCATCCGCTTAAGCAGGCGGCATGCATTTGCTCCGGGAGGGTCATGCTCCTTGAGTACAAGGTCAAAGCCCGCCCCATGCTCTGCCTCAAGAAGGAGCTGAAGGCCTTCTCTCGCGGTCTTTACCGCCGTTACCTGCCAGGGCGTCAACGGTCCTAGAAATTCCGCGCGGGCTCGCCCTCCTCTTCGCCTTGTCGGCTAGACTCCAATTTGTTATCTCACCTGATAAGAACACTCTCTAAGCAGCTGCGTTGTGTTTTGACGCGATACAGCCTTGCTATCTATGACCAGTATGCGCAGATTCTTTGGGTCGGGAAGAGGCAGCTGCTGGGCGCCACCGTGCTGGGCGCCATGTGCCTGCATGCTGACTTTCTGAAGCCGGCCCACCCTGGGGCCGGGCACTTCTGCCGTGCCTGCGCCCTCCGTCTGTGGCTGCGCTTATGATTTCCGGTATCACATACAAACATATGGCCTTGCTCTAGACGATCTCTATGTTGGGTACAAATAAATCGCTTGTATGTAGAATTTCTTTCTAAAACCAACAGAATTGCAAGTTGAAATTCGGCAGCAGCAGTTCAGAACGCGTCCAGCTTGTGTACGAGGCTAGCAGATACGCTCGGCCGTTGTAATTTGCAAACCCGATCAGCCGTACTGTCGTATGATACTCTGGCCGTTATGTCATGGCTGTCAAGCGGCCCCCTAGGTCAAAAATGCTAGGCAAAGCTCAACAAACAAAGTTAGGATGACAAGTGGGACTTTGGCGTCGGTTAGAAACTGATAACGGCGGTCCTTACGTCAACTTCCGAAACCTGATGCTCCAAACTTCATATGCTCTTGCAGACAGCTGCCCGCATTCAAGATGTAATTATGATCTGCCTAAAACATGAGCTTGAGGGCGGCTCTGCTGCCAGTCAAAATGCTACCCATGAAAGGCACACTAACGTTTCAATCGAAAATTGGAAAAAAATGTTTTTCCAGCAATTTTTCCCTCATAACTTTCATGTTATAAAACTGTCACGCTCAGACGTAGGAGGCCGAGCAGACTTCTCATGTTCGGCCCCAAAGCGGAGTTCGGCCCTGTTGCGACTACCTCCGCCGAAAGAGCGGAATGCTTGCACCCTTACCATCTTAGGACAACGAATAGATCCACCACAAACCTCCGTCACGAGCGCCATGGACGCTCCAACGCACGATGACGCTCGCATTGACAAACCACATTGTGAATTGTCACCATGTCCACCACGGCCTCCGTCACGAGCGC